TAACAACTGTAGGTGATGTTCTTTGGTTAGCAGCAAGTATAACTATCCCTTATGATTTTTGATTCCATGCAAATCAGTGATAAAAATCCACCATCTTGATTTGCAATGCTGACTACTTAGCTGCATGTAAAGCATTGATGCTTCTTAGTCACTTGTGTTTCCTTTTCTGGGAGTTGACTACCAGTGTTCTTTGCTGTGCAGACTTGATTAATAGTGACCCTACTAACCTTACAGTTGTCTGCAGAAGATGCCAAACCTTTTGTTCAGCCACATCTGATAGGAGACCCTAGGTTCCTAAAGGATTAGTAAGAGGCTGTGTCAGCACTGAAGCCTCAGTGAAACCAGAAAGGGCAAAGTGTCTGTGTATCATAAAGCCTCCACAATCATATTTTTATGCCTTCTGACTTCCAATGCCTCTCTTTTTCTTAAATGCTGCTCTAGCAGGAGAACTAAATTTGGTGCATGTCTGACCTTTCTTCAGTATTTGCCTTTGGCCTCCTGCTATGTGCAACACCCAGTGGCCACGTTAACAGACTGTATTATAGAGACAAGAATTGGCTTTGAAATCAAGCAGACATTGGGCAGGTCTCAACCTTTTAGAAGTTTAGTTTCCTCTTTCTTTCAAGTGTAGGTGACAATCCCAACTATAAGGAATGTGTTTCTGTTTTTAAGGTGCCATGCATGCAAGGCCATCAGTTTGCTCAGCTTCTAGGAGTGCAAAGCTCCTGAACAGTGCCTGCCCCATCACAAGACTCCTCTTACCTCAAGGATTCCTGAGCTGATTCTGTGGATTTTATGCTTAGCTAGTGCCTAGCACAAAGCATAATCAGCCTGGACCTCCTACAGCATCTGCAGTTACTACAGGCGATGGTGGTGCTGCTCAAACAGACTCCAAGCAGACCTTCTCTGGATCTTTGTGACCTTAGCTGCAATAGTTTGGTGACAGCTCTCTTCTGGGGCAACAGGAAAAGTGCTGGACCCCATTCTGGCAAGCTGTGTCAGACTGTCACTTTTGTCTTCTCTTCGGTTCCTAATATAATATCATTTTAATGATGCCAGCCTGAATCTAGTCACTCTTACTTGCTAAGGAACCCTAGGCAAGTGGCTTAACTTCTCTGTGTCCTAGCTTCCCTGTCTGTAAAATGCAGATAATAAAATGGTATAGAATCATTCTGTGCCTCTCTAATGCTTGTGTGTTGAAATCTGAACACTATCCCTAAATAGTATTTGGAGGCCTTTGGAAAGTACTAGGTCAACAGAGCAAAGCCTTTGTGAATGGGTTCAGTGTCATAAAAAAAAGAAAAAGAAAAGAAAAGAAAAGAAAAAAAGAAAGAAAGAAGGAAGAAGGAAAAGAAAAAAAGACCCCAGACAGATTGACAGATCGTTTGTCCTTTATACCACAAGAAGACAGTGAAAAGATGGAATCTGTGAGCTAGGAAAAAGGTTCTTCCCAGACACTCTACAAGGTGGCATCTTAATCTTGGATTTCTTAGCCACCAGAACTGTGAGAAATTAAATTGTTTGTAAGTGTCCTAGTCTTTGTCATAGTAGTTCAGACAGTCTAGGATATAAGTAGTTATTTGGTGGGGTGCAGAGAGTTAAATGGAGTAAGTTATGTAGATCTCTTAGTATGTTTCCTGGCACATGCAAACTCTATTATCTGCTATTAATATCGGATGTACTATTTTCATAGCCACCCTGATAATGATGTTGTATAATTAAATTGAACAGATGTATTCCTTTTTCTGATGTTCGATATTTATGGTATTTCCCATTTTTAAACATAAACTAAAAATGTTACCTAAAAAATAAGTCATGTTGGGAATGATTTAATATCAGTACTCAGGAAACTAAGGTAGAGGACTATCGTGAGTTCTGACCTAAACTGGGCTACCTAGAGAGTTCCAGGCCAGCCCAGATTGCAGAGTAAAACTCTCTTTCAGAAAACTTAATAAAACAAGTCATCTAGTCGTTTGTGGTTTAGAGATAAAATCAAAGCAGTGAATTAAAAAATGTGGACTGGTGAGATGGCTCAAAGGATAAAGGTACTTGCTACCTTTCCCAGCAACGTGTGTTTGTTTTGCTCCCCCAAAATGTTTTCTGACTTCTACATGTGAGTCATGGGATCTTGTGCATACACGTAAACACAAACAAAATATGTTTAAAAATAATAAAAGGAATTAATATTGAATGGAGTAATAGTAGTATGTTTAAGTTATCTTACAGAACTGGAATGTTGGTTATATCTGGATGCCAGCACCTGGGAGGCTGAGGCCAGTCTAAGCTTCAAAGGGAGACTGTCTCAAAGTAGTATCTTAAAGAAACTCAACATTTCCTTGACATATTTCTGGCCAATTGTCCCACCTGAGAAGCCCAGCATGAAACATCCTTATCTGAGGCACAGCAGCAGGCCTGGATCACTCTGCAAGGTCTTTTAGGCCTTTGCTCTGGGATCCTCCTGGCAAAAAAGTCAAATCAGCTTTTCTCCTCTAGTGGCAGAGAATCTCTGATACAGCACAGCTCAGGCCAACCCAGCAGTTTTTAGATACCATTTGGAAATATCCAGTAGGGCAACTGTCAAGCCCTGTCACCTGATCTGCAGTTTATGGGACAGAGGTTTCTGCAGACAGAGGTTTTCTGTCTGTTAGTCTTTCAGCTAACAAAAGTCAGAGTTAGCAATAGCAATTGAAATGTGAAGTGACATACACAGAGTGCAATTTGTGTGTCAGGGTGTTTTTCTGTTTGTTTGCTTGTTTTGTTTTGTTTTGTTTTAGTTCTGCTTAATCTGTTCAAGGTATTAATGGCCTTATTTTATGGACCAGGAAACTGAGGTTCAGAGAAGGTAAGGTTTTGCTCCAGGGAAACTTGATGGGAGTCTGTGGCTGTAAAGACACAAGCTTTCCCCAAGAGCACAACAGGATCTCTTTCAGTTTAATCAGCACGTATGAGTGCTCACTGCTAGGCACTGGCACAGACAGAGCCTGATGACATAGAAAGGCAGGGGTATTAATCACAAGTTCTAGTCCTAAGGTTGATGAGTGCCCAGGAGAAGTAATTATGTCATGTGGGTGGTTCATTTTATTTGTGGTACATATGTCTAAAAGCCATCATTAATCCTTTTAGGAAGAGGCAGGGGTTGATAGATCAGGGCTATAAACAAAGAGCAGTAGGGAAATGGAGGGGGGGTGAACTCCCACTCAGAAATTCAAGTCTCCTAGAGGATGTGGCATTTTGGTTGGGGTTGAGGAGCCAAAAGAATACTGGGTGGGGGGTGGGAGATACCATGTCCACTCCCTTACCAAAGACATGTAAAAACAGAACCTTGGTCAGTACTTGCTAAATAATGGTCTTCAGAAAAGTATATGGCCCTCTCATTTTGCTCCCTCTTTCTTACATAGAGAGGCCTATAAAGACACACCAGAGACAACCACACATTCCAAAAACAGAAAATTCACACAAAACACACACTGGTACACATGCACATATTATTAATATGTTAAACATATATATATGAAAATTCATACAAGTTCTTACATTTACAGATTCACAGATACATATAATCTTCACAAACAAATGTGTTTATGCTTTCATACACAAGCTCAAACATATCCTCTCCCCACCCACTACTCATTCAGGCAAATAAATGCATGCTTTCGTTAACACACACGAGTTCACACACAAATCTCATCCTGCCCGTCTGGTTACAAGCGAATGACTAATGGGAAACCATGCACAAAGGCAAGTATCCAAGGAGAGGCCAGGACTGCTTTTAGCAGTGAGGCTGGTAGGATGGGATTAAGCCATCAGATGCCAAACTTGATCTGCCAGGCTACATCTAGAAGTTGCTCAGCTGAGGCTACAAGAGTCAGACACTACACTGGATCCTGGGTGATGGTGTAAGTTTGCCTTTCCAACTTGCTCCAGAGTTTAATGTCATCCAGGGTCAAGTTCTGCTATCGGCCCCACCCCAATGCCGACAACAGGCTGGAATCTCTGGGGATGCAGAGGCAGTGTGGGCTGCTTTCCAACCTTGGGCTTGTCCTGACACAGTGCAACCCCAAGTGGTTAGCATTAATGATGGTTTACAACGGTGGGCCAAGCACTGGGTTAAGCCCTTCATGTACATGATTTCATTCTCACAACAGCTCTGTGAGGGGGATGGGGTGTGTCCTCTCATCTCACCATTTATGTGGCTGAGAACACTGCTTGAGCCACAAAACCTCTCAGCAAGAGAGGCAAAGAACTGAAATTCAACCGGGTCCTATCCTATTCTTCCCGAGGTTCGGGTCATAGTGTGCAAGCGAGTGTGTCTCCCCCAAGCCAGAAGCTTGCGCTCACGACAGGATTTTAGACTGTCCCATACAGCTTAGCCCAGAGCCAGGCCCCGAGCAGGTGCCTGCTGAGGGTACTGGGATTGGCTTGCTGAAGCTGTCAGCAAGAGCTTTAGTTTCCCCATCTCTGAAATGGGGGTGGCAGTGATGACCCCGCAGGGCGGGGGCCAGGCTCTCTTGAGCAACACAGTGAGTGCAGAGCTCCCATCTATATCACCGCTGCCACCTCCCTCGCCCATCGCAGGGATGCAGCCTAGTCCCCGCCCGAGTCCGGGTGCGGCTCGGGGGCCCCCCATTGTTCAGGAGGGCGGTGACGCTGCCCACAGGGGACTCCCCACCCCGGGTCCAGCTCGCAGCCCAGTGGAACAGATGACTTGGCCCGGCGTCTGGCGCGCGGGGCGCGTCCTTTGTCTGCTCGGCGGCGCCGAATGCCCGAGGCCCGCGCCCCGCTCTCTGGGTAGACAAAGCCGGGGCAGCCGCGAACCCGGCCGGCTCCAACGCCGCTCGCGCCTCCCGACGTCCCGCCTGCTCTGCTCTGCGTCCTCTGATTGGTCGGCGCTGTTACAAAGAGGCCGGGAAGCGGGCGGGTCACGTGGGTGGACGCGGCTTTCTATTGGTCAAGCTAAGCTGTCTATCGAGGAGGGCGGGCAGTGCGCGCTCCTCCGGGTCTCTCCCTGCGCTCTGAGGCCCGCCCGCGGGGCCGGCCGCCTGTCAGAGGGAGGTGGCGATGGTGCGCCCGGTGGCGGCGGTGGCGGCGGCGGCGACGGCTTCCTTGGTCGGACGGCAGGGAGGAGAAGATGACTGACCGACCAACTAGATGAATGAATGAATGGCGGAGCCGACCGCGCCATGAGGAGCCTGCCGAGCCTGGGCGGCCTCGCCCTGTTGTGTTGTGCGGCCGCCGCCGCCGCTTCAGCAGCCTCGGCGGGGAATGTCACCGGTGGCGGCGGGACGGAGGGGCAGGTGGTCGCGTCGCCCACCCCGGGGCTGCGGGACCAAGCCAGCCACCCCTTCCCTAAGGCCGCGGCTCCCACGACGCAGGCCCCGCGGAGCGGCCCCCCGCGCACCACGGTGCGCAGAGCAGGGACTGCGACCCAGTCAGCCGGCTCCCCGGAGACCACCCCTCTCCGAATCACCGCGCGACCCCCTGCCACCACCTTCCCGGGTCTAGACCCCTCGCCCGCTACTCCTTCGGAGGAGGGCCGCCCTCCCGCCACCGAACCACCACCCTCCAGACCTGCGCCCAGCACCCTTGAGAGCACAGCTGGCCAGGCGCCGACCACCCCCATAGTCACCACCGCTCAGGCGCCCAGCACTCCTGGGACCCCGACCACCGAGTCCCGGGACAGCAGCATCAGCAACAGCATCCCGCCCACCGCACCTGCCACCGAAGCCCCTGCTCCTTCTCCCCCAGGTGAGTCCCAGCGCTCCCTCGACCTCTGTACCTTCCCCAGTCACTGTCCATCTTTACCCCAGCCTCTGACACCCCATTCTGGCCACTTGTCCTAGACTCTCCCAAGGGAAGATCCAGGCTCCACCTAGACTCAGCCACAATCCCTCCAAATCTAGAAAGTCTTTTGTCCCCCACCCGGTGCTGTGCTCCGTCCAGAGGGAGCGGCTGCTTAGTGTCTCTTCCTAAAACAGGGTTTTCTGGTCCCCAGAATGCATGCAAACTTTTGGGATCCGCCCAGAAGGCCACCCTGCCCGTGTTATTGGATGGGGGGAAGCGGGGGTTGAAAGATAGAATGGTGCTCTGTCAATGCACAGGTAAAACCTGAAGGGATTTCCCCAAAGCTCCAATTTCCTTGTTTTTCCTTGTTTGTTTCTTTTTGCTGGTGATGGGATTGTGTGTGTGTGTGTGTGTGTGTGTGTGTGTGTGTGTGTGTGTGTGCATACAGAGGGGATTTTGCTTACAAGCAGTCCATTTCAGGCATGAAATTGAAAATAAAACCGGCATTGTAATCCATGTTTTCTCTGCAAATAAGTAGACTTGGTAGGTTATTTGGGACAGGTGTATATCTAGGTTGAGCACGTTTATAAATTAGGTTAAATCCCTTCCTTGCACTATTTCATTTTGTCTCAATTCCAAGGTCAGTGCTTGGGCAAATGCTATTTAAGCCAGGATGTCCATTTTTGCCCTTTTAAAATTGGGATGTTCCTTACTGCTGATGCTGCCATGCCAATTTCTGTTTGAGCTCACAATAGGAAATACAGTTGTTCTGCTAGTGAAAGTCTTTAAGCAAAGCTAAGAGACAACTGCTGTTCTTTCATCTCTTTGTATCTTAAGTGGGCCAGGAACTCAACCAATAACTCCTACCTCTTTAAGACATTCAGCAAGTTTCTGAGGTCGTTTGCTTTGCATTTGGGGTGGAGAACTGCCCAAAGCACTTGTCTAGCTTGATCTGATCATTGACCTAATTCTTTGGCTCAGTGGTTTACTGTGGAGTCAGGTATGGACTTTGGACTATAATTGAGTTGGTAGAGGATTTTCCCAGATGGTTAAGTCTTGAATTGTATGTTGGAGCTTGGCAAAGGCATAAATAGGAATGCAGATTATTAACCCCCAAGAAGCCACATTTGGAACTCTTTCAGTTTCAAGGGATGTATTAAAAACAAACAAAAAAAGCTATTTTTTTTAACCTGTGATACTTTTTGGCTCTTATAAAAAAGAGATTGACATATTACTAAAGTTAGACTAGTAGTTTAGTGGAGGCTACGAAATCCATTTTTAGGTTTGAATTCCAGCTTATTGCTCCTTTGCCTATGTAAGTATGGACAGGTCACTTAGTCCTTGTGGTCTCACTTTCTTCAGTCTTGACCTGAAGGTTAGCATAGTCCTTATAGGTTTGCTGTGCAAATTATGAAAGTTGGGCTGAGTGTATATGGTGATGCACTGGAAGCAAAGACAAGAGGATTAGTTCCAAGCTTGCCTTGGCTACATACTGTTTAAGGCAACCTGGACTACATAGCAAGATTCTATCAAAAAAGATAAAATCAGTGGAGAGAGGGTAGGAGAGGAAAGAAAAAGTTCACTGTTAATGCATACCTAACTAGTGCTTAGAATAGTTCCTGGAACGTGACAAGCATCACATGTATGTCACTTTTCACTCATGACCAGCTCTTTTTTCTGACTGGAAAAATATTAGAGAAGCTGAGTGTGGATTTGTGATTTTTATACTTTGTTTTAATAAATAGAAAAAGGATGTTAAAATTTCTGGAGTTTTAAGCACACCATATTTAAGTAGAATTTACTTGCTTTTGTTAGTATCTGATAAATAAACACACAGTTGATGTCACTTCACATTTGTCATTTTAAATTCTTACTGTCAAAAGAGATAATCAGAAGCCCACAGAGAAAACAGTAAAAGTCACTTTATCACTCTCTGTAGTTCCAGTCCCTAGAGGTTACTCCTCTTAGCAGTTTGTTGGATCTTTAAAACAATTTTCTGGGCATATATCAACACAAAAATACTTTAAATTTATTTTTAGGGCTCAGGGGTAGAGATTTGCTTAGTGTGCACAATTTCTGACACCATCAAAACAATCAAATAGTTTGTAAAATTAAAATGCAATAATTCCATACATATTGTTTCATCTTGATGTATTCACTTAACTATGTAACATAAAACTTTTTTTTTTCATGTCAGTACCTTATAAGGATCAGTCAGTACCAAATAAGGATCTACCTTATTCCTTCCAATAGTTGTATTTTTCATTGTAAATGTATACAGAATAAGCAGACTTGTTTAACCAGTTACTTATTAATTCATTTAACTGGTTCCTATTTTATATATACATAGATTGCTTTGAAAATCACAGAGAAGAATGAATTCTTAAATCTATCATGTATTTATTATATTCTCTAATACTTTAATACCAAATCAGTATTTAGAATTCAATTCAAATTCAAGTGAAGCAAAGCCGAGGTGATGAATATTAATCAGTTTGAACTGTTTTTAGTAGTTTCCATGGGCTAGTATCTGTATGATTATCTTACTATAGCAAACAGTTCAGGATATCCACCTGAGGTCATTCACCTTTGTTTAAATATTCTGTAATTTATACTCTTCTGTGAATTCATTCTGTTTTCTGTGTTTAGTTCTCAAAGGCTTGGCTGACTTTGTGGCCTTCCGATAAACAATTTTAGTCTTACAGTGATATAATCAAGTGTGACTTTTTAATTGTAGCATGGACTCCATTCTACTTTAGATAGTAAGCATAGCTCTTCAACAGAGGAAAACTTCTATATGAATTTGAGAGGGCTGATTTGGCTTGCAAAGCTGGGTTTCCTGCCATTGGGGAAGATGGTTGTAGAATTTTATTTCAACATTTCTATGAGAACTGGGTACCATTTACTTTGTCATTTGATTGGGAAGGTCTTATACCTGCTATATGAATCAGTAAAAATTCTCTCCTGGAGAATTAGCTGAAAGCTCTTACCTACTCATCAGTTAGGGCCCACTTGTTTACAAGGACATTGATCTGCAAACTGGAACTAATTACCCGGCAAGCAGGCATTTTCCTCTCACAAACCTGGTACAACACTATATGGGTTAGTTGGATGAAGGGTGGAGAGAAATGCTGTGATCTTACTACCGAGTAATAATCAGCAGTAAAGCCCTGAGGTAATTACAAATGTTTGCTTGCTTGTTTTAAATGGACTTAAGGCTAGTAGGAGCTTAGAAGCCACCAAAGCCCAGCAAGGTTCAACATTTTAAGAAATACTTGTATAGCCTTGGGTGAAACACCTCTGCCTGTACCTAACATTTAACTAGGAGGAATCTGGCCTTTAGGAACATGTACAAAAAGTCTGTTTTCCCTGTGTGCTTCTTCAGATTTTGTGGGTGTGATCATATTCTGAGTTTTAGCTAAATAACTTCAGCTTCTTCATTTGGTCTTTGACATGTTTTCATATTTCTTCACTATCCTGGTCACTTCTATGCTGAATCTTTTCAGTCTTTGTGTGACTCTCCTAAAACACATAATAGAATTGAACATAATAGTCTAGATGTACTCTAGCACAGCTCATAGCAGAGAGCGTGGTTACCTTGTTTCTTCTGGGTACAATACTGATTATGTATTTAGTTCCCTAAGGACAGTATCTCTTTTATTTTTAGCATCCAAATTATGTTGTTGACTCATTGAATTCATTTTGACTATTTTAAGTTGTATATATATTTTTAAAAATATATGGTAGATAAATCATCATTTATCTGGACTTAGACATTTTTGTGATTTTTCTAAAATATAATCTGAAATATTTGGCAAGCTCTTAAGAATCATTATGTTAAATTCAGATGATCTTTTTTGCTCCATATTTGTGTATTCAACCCAGGTTGTTCACATGACTTGCAGGGTGTTCCTATAGACCAAGTCTAAGGACAAGTCAGGGCAGGTTATCCTTACCTCAATGGAAAAAGAAATTCATGGATGTTAAAACAGTTTGAAAATGGAAGGGATAAGAGTTCAAATTAGTTCTCAAGAGTCTCTTCCAGCTCTTCAGTTCTGTGATGATTAGATGTGCATGATTCAAAGTACATTTATACCCCATAAGGAGTCTTAATTATTTACTTATAACCCAGACTACAAGAATAGACTTTGTTTAAGCAAGTCCCAGAATCCAGTTGAAATTTCTAACTACTATGAGGTGTGAATGCAATATTACAAATGGATTCTGTTTAATATGTTATATTTGCTTGTTTTTGTTTAAGATAGGGTCTAGCTGTATAGCTCAGGCTGACCTCTGACTTGTCATCTTCTTGCTGCTATCTTCCATGGTTGGATGTGCCACCATGCCTGGCTTTTTAGAGTGGATTTGAAAGGAACATTCTAGAAACCCAGGATCCTGCTAGTTGGACCAGAAAATGCTTTTTATCCTAACAGTCTCTACTACTAAAGTTTTGAGTCTTATTATATGTAGTTATCTGTAGCATTTATTTTTTATGGAAATACAAACTGTGTAGTATCCAAGGATGATACATATTCAGAGTCTTTTATCCAAAACCTGTGTGTCTTGATATATTGGAGACTATTTCAGATTTTAGAAAGATGACAAGTACATCACGGTGAAGCTAGGAGAATATCTAGTAGCTGGACTAATGAAGACATCCATATCAACATGCACATTCATTTGGCTAAGTACCATAAGTAGCCTTGCATTTGATTAGGTCAGTCTTTGTTGGGATGAACACTCAGGGAAGGGTTCAAGACACAAAGCCTGGTTCTTTACCTGCCTTGGAATACATACAAGCACTTCCCTCCCACATTTAGATAATGTCTCACTATGTTGCCCAAATTTGCCTTGTATTCAAGAAGGACTCAAGCCATCCTTCTGCCTCAGCCTAAGTAACTGGAATTACAGGAGCTCACCATTATACCTGGATTCATAATAGTTTTTTTTTTCAACATTTGTTG